GGGGAGTCTGGGAACGTCTCAGAGGGGAGTCTGGGAACGTCTCAGAGAGGAGTCTGGGAACGTCTGACGCCTTCAGCAGCTGGGAGCTGAAGCGGAGGTCTTCGCCTCGTCCCGTCTCAGAACTGTTAAGCTTTTACCAACTCGTTGTCCGCGGGCACACCTTCGTACATCTCGCCTGTTTCAATGCTGCACCCCTTGCAAGGATTAAACCTGCGTTGAGAACATCTTCCCGCCTCCTCATGTGGATTATTTGATTAATGAGATGACGACAGGATAACTGTCCAACATTTGGTCCTGGAGCTGCCCCCAACACCGCCCGGACCACCAGGCTCATCTGATGCCACGCACGGGGGACAGGACCGAGCTCCTGCAATGAGAGGGTTCGGCTGATGTTGTGGGACGTGACGGGGGACGAACGAGTGAAGCCATGCGCAGGAGGAGGGGAGAGGATTGTTTTTTAACTTTCACTCAACCTTTATTTGTCCAGGTTGGTCTCACTGAGCCTCGAGGACTCATTTCACGAGACCTGCTCCATATAAAGTACAGACAACAATAAACTACAGTAAAATGAGGTTAAAGTAAGAGAAGTGTACAAACAATAAATCAGGGCGCCATAAAGGTCTAGGGTCTTAATGTTTCTGGGGGACCTGGGGTCTAACGTGGAGGCTCTGGGAACCTTCAGTCTGGGACTAGACGAGCACAGAAACCATGTCGACGATGCGTTTGTGTGTACAAGATGGAGCTGCGCAGGAAAAATAAAGAGTGTGTGCTCGGATCCAGTTTGTCGTCTTTTATTTTTAACTTGCCTGATGAAGGAGACGCTGAGAAGCCGAGGCAAGAAAATAATCTAGAGATTTAGACCCGACTCGTTTTGATTTCTGCCGGACAGCTGACGGACTCCACGGGGAGACGGGAGAGAGATGACCGGTGCTGCGGTCGCTCTCTTCCTCAGCCGAGGGACAGAGAGGAAAAGAAAAGGCAGAGCTGAGAGAAAGATGCCGTCCAGGCATGAGACAACAATGTCCTCCTTGGACAGTAGCGTCCAACGTCGTCAGAGGTCTGAGCTGAGCTTTTTTTAGAAGAGTTTAAAGATGTTGAGGCGCAGCTGGACAAGTTTCAGTCCAGGAAACATACGGGACGAAACTAACTGCTTCTAGAAAACTCTTCACAACTGAAAACTTGGTCTAAATGAGCGTAAGAGTGAATATGAAAACAGAAGACGGGGATAAAATGCCTTTGTTTTATTATAAGAGATTTATTTCAATGCTGGGATTTATGGGACAAAACTTTTTTAAACTGGGTGTAAAAATAGCTGTTGAGATTATTCCTGGGAGGAAATTGGATCTGATGATCCCATGAGTCCGAGAGGGAGATAAATAATAAAAAATATTGGAAGTAAACCTTGTTAATCAAAAGATAAAATATCAAAATTGATGCTTGGATGTGGTGTTTATTCAATTCTATTAAATTTATTTCTGAACTCCAGGTCACAACAGAAGTCGTCTCAGGGCCTGAACAGAAACTTTCATCTATAAAATAATAATTTAACAGAAACTTTCATCTATAAAATAATAATTTAACAGAAACTTTCATCTATAAAATAATAATTTAACAGAAACATTCATCTATAAAATAATAATTGAACAGAAACATTCATGTATAAAATAATAATTGAACAGAAACTTTCATGTATAAAATAATAATTGAACAGAAACATTCATGTATAAAATAATAATTTAACAGAAACATTCATGTATAAAATAATAATTGAACATTATTTATCTGAGGAGCAGCTTTGAGTTTAACTCCATCACAGAACTCTCATCTTGAACAAGCATGAAGGCGACAGTGGAAAGAAAAACTCCCTCATGAGGAAGAAACCTTTAGCAGAACCAGGATCAGGACTAGAGGACCATCTGCTTGGACCGGCCCACTTCTCCGCTCTGCATGGAGATCAGCTGATCAGCTGAAGCAGGAAGTTAATCCTGCAGTGTGGGCTGCACAGAGGCGCAGCAGGTGCTAAATAATTTAAAATATTTATTTTAAATAAAAATTCCATGCCGATCGTGCAACTCATCCATCAATCAGCCAATTGTGTGTCATGTCCAATCTTATTTTGAAAAACCGTGATAGTCTGTGATAAATGAACTGCGAAGTAGCGAGGGACTACTGGACTGCAAATGGCCGACTGGGCTGTTGTGAAAGTTTCTCAAACAACCAGTGACTCCGCCCCCTGACATTCTGTGACCGACCGTGTTCCGACGTCACGTTTTAAGGCCAGCACGGTACGCTTGGAACCCCAGAGAAAAAGGTGCCGGTTCCACAAACAATTGCTAGCGGAAAAGCCTCGGAGCCGAGCCGAGTCAAAGCATGCTGCACCGACACTAATGGAAAAGGACTGCAAGTCTTTACTGACGGTTGTTGGGTAGTGGAGCTCACCCCAGAGAGTCCTCCAGAACAGAACCTTCAGAGCCGACCCCCTGCAGACCAGTCTCTCTCTGAACAGCTGATGGGTTCTAGTTATTTTAGTTAGAATGAACCAAAGACATGAAGCATGCTGGAAATCTGAACCAAAGTCTGCAGCAGAACATTTAATGTCCCCCGTCTGTATGCGCTGCTCGTTTCTGTGGGTTTCACTCATCTTAAATTAACGAGTGCTTGTTTAATCCTCCACCTGTTAGAAATGTTCCCGGTGGCTTTATGGGATGTTTTCCTCCCTAACCTCGTCAGCTCTGTTGAAGCTGATTGGACTGAAACCACCTGAGGTCGCACGGAGGTTTCAGGGAGACCTTGAAGCAGCGGGAGCAGATGAAGATGCTTCTTCAGAAATGAGCAAACAGGTGTCCCAGTGGACAGAGACATGAAGGGGGAGGGGTTAACAGACACTACCTTCTCCAGCTGGCATCAGGAGGCGGGGACAGGTACGCCGAGTTGTACAGAGAGTTGTCCACCTGGGGAGACGGCAGGTTAAGGAAACAACAAGTCTGTCTGGTGGGTAAAACCTCCACAAACAAGTTCTGATATTCTGGAAAAAATGAAGCGCAAACAGGCAACAAAACTAAAATGTAGTCCGGTCCGAACCACTGAAATGTATAAGTGATGAGGAATCTGCTGAGGATGTTTGAATTAAAACCTAAAAAACCAAAGAGTTCTGGAACAGACAACAAACAGTGGAGCGAAGAAGTATTTAGTCAGACTGTGCCAGTTCTCCGACTTGGACAGATGAGGGGTCAGTAATTTTCATCATAGGTACACTTGAACTATGAGACAATCCAGGAAATCACTCTGTAGGGGGTTTAAACAATGTATGTATAAATTATGGTGGAAAATAAGTATTTGGTCATTAACAAACAAGATTTCTGTCCCTCACAGACCTGTAGCTTCTTCTTTAAGAAGCTCTTCTGTTCTCCACGTTACCTGCATTAAAGGACCAGTTTGACCTCGTTATCTGTATAAAAGACACCTGTCCACAGCCTCAAACAGTCCGACTCCAAACTTAACCATGGCCAAGACCAAAGAGCTGTTGACGACACCAGGACGAAGACTGTAGACCTGCACCAGGTTGGGAAGAGTGAATCTACAATAGGCAGCAGGTTGTTGAAAATCAATCAACTGAGGGAGCAACTGGAAGAAAAAGGAAGACCTACAAGACCACTGATAACCTCCCTCGATCAGGAGCTCAGTGGGGACAAGATGATCAGAGAGCGGTGCGCTAACATCCCAGAACTGCACGGAGGGACCAGATGAATGACCTGCAGAGAGCTGGACCAAAGTAACAAAGACTGCCATCCATCTATCGCAGACTACAAGAGAAGGAACACGTCTGTGGAGATGACCAGCGCATCATGTCTGGACGAGCTCAACACCTTCTACACCCGGTTTGATGCAAACACCACCACACACGTCACCAGACCACATGTGGACAGTGAGGACACCTCACTCCGTTTAGACACTGCTACAGTGAGACGGGCGTTCAAGACAGGGAACTCTCACAAGGCACCAGGGCCTGATGGCATCCCAGGACGGGTGCTGAGCGTGTGCGCTGACCAACTCACCAAGGTGTTACCAACATCTTCAACCGGTCTCTGAACCAGTCTCTTGTACCCACAATCTCCAAGACCTCCACTGTTGTCCCCATCCCAAAGACCTCTGCAGCATCCTGCCTTAACGACTTTCAGCCCATATCACATCTGTCATCATGAAGAGCTTTGAGTAAATTATCAAGACTCACATCTGTGCCCCCCTCCCTGACACCCCGGACCCCCTACAGTCCAGAGCAAACTGGTCTACAGGTGATGCCGTTGCTTTAGCAGGTCAGAGTGACGTGCGGTGAGGTTTGTGACAGGTGACACAGTGTCTGGCACTGGATGCTCACACATATGAACCCAAAATGGAAGCTTTTATTTCAACGTAGCCTCTTTTTTCTTCCTCTCATACTTTGATTCAACTGAAAATATAGTTCAGACAAATCCGTTAGTTTTGAGATATGACGTTCCATTTTGTCTAAACAAATTTAAACGAGTGTACCGTCTGCTTTACCCCCGCCCCTCTGTGTAACAGAAGAACACAGACTGCACCCGCTTCCTTGTCCCTATGGGGCAGCACTGCCCCCTAACGGTGCGGCATGGTACTTTCTGCCGCACCTCTGAATTTTCAGCGTGCGTTACGACCCATTAGAAAGAAGAAATGTGTCACACACATTCATTCAATATGTTAGACAGACTGTAGCACATCAACATGTGCAGCACATGTGTAACCAAACATGTATATTGACGATATACCGAGACAGCAATGGTCATGCACCAACCACCTACTTCATATATTGTATGATACAGCGCCCCCAGAGGTGACCCAGAGCACTACACTGCCTCGCCCAGCACATTTATTCCATGTTTGAACAGGAAATGTGTAAATTCCATGATTCTGAACATTGAAGTGTTGAAATAATTCAGAAAACAGTTTTATAAAACAGTCAAGTGGTCAAATGTATTTTCTCTCATCATTGTCAGTATTTTGACATGACAGGTGCAGCACTGCCTCACCTGCCTCCCCTGACCGCACATCACTGAGTTCACACCCCCCTCAGCCATCTGGAGAAGGTAAACACCTTCGTGAGAATGCTCTTTATCGACTACAGCTCAGCATTCACCATAATCCTCTCCAAGCTGGTCTCCAAGCTCACCACACTGGGCCTGGAGAAGTCCATCTGCTGCTGGATACTGGACTTCCTCACCAACAGACCACAGGCAGTGCTCTCCTCCACACTAGTCCTCAGCACTGGTACACCTCAGGGCTGTGTCCTCAGTCCACTCCTGTACTCACTTTTTACACGACTATACAGCCAAGCACAGCTTTAACATCATCCTCAAGTATGCTGATGACACCACCATCTTGGGCCTCATCACCAACGACGACGAGTGCCTACAGAGACGAGGCGAAATCACTGACCAGCTGGTGTCAGGAAAATAACCTCTCTCTAAATGTCAGCTAAACTAAGGAGATGATAGTGGACTTCAGGAAGAGTGTGGAGGTCAGCACTCCACCATCAACATAAACAACGATGAGGTGGAGCAGGTCAGCAGCTTCAAGTTCCTCGGTGTTCACATTACTGAGGAACTGTCCTGGACTTTACAAACAGACACTGTGGTCAAGAAAGCCCAACAAAGACTCTACTTCCTATGAAGACTAAAGAAGTTTGGTACAAACACCAGCATCCTCACAAAGTTCTATAGGTGCACCATTGAGAGCCTGCTGACAGGCTGCATCACAGGGTGGTACATGAACTGCAGCAGTCAGAAAGATCTACAGAGGTGGTGCAAACAGCAGAGGACATCACTCGTAGCAGTCTCCACACCATCCAGGACATCTACCAAAGCCGATGTCCACACAGCATCAAGGACAACATCCACCCAGCACAAGGCTCAGTTGGTGTACCACAGGGCTCATTCTTAGGACCCATCCTCTTTTCAATCTACTTAGGTAATGTAGGTCAAAGCATCCCTGATGCATCCATACATTTCTATGCTGATGACACAGTTGTTTATTGTCAAGCTAAAACTGTTGCTAAGGTTTTCCAGCTTTTGCAGTCCACTTTCAACATCATCCAGCAAGATTTGTTCTGTCTCAAGCTTGTCCTAAACAAAGACAAAACCAACAGGCTGTTTTTTTCAAACAGGAAGTCAGTCAGATCAGTTCTTCCTCCGATTTTATCCTCAAATGGTGTCTCTATTGTGTTAGTGGATTCCTACAAATATTTGGGTATCTTGGTCGACTCACATCTCTCTTTTAAGCTCCACGTAGAAAACTTGGTAAAGAAACTGAAAGTTAAACTGGGTTTCTTTTTCAGAAACAGATCCTGTCTAACTCTGAATGTTAGGAAACACCTTGTATCTGTGACTTTCCTTCCCTCCATTGATTACGGTGACATTATTTACATGAACGCTCCTACAAGAACCCTGCAGATGTTGGATGCTGCAGATGTTGGATGCTGCAGATGTTGGATGCTGTCTATCATGGTGCACTAAGATTCATAACTGGCTGTAACTACCGTACCCACCACTGCACCCAGTATTCACTGGTTAACTGGACATCATTAACTTCACGCAGACTCTCTCACTGGTACATTTTCATCTTTAACTCACTTCCTGGTCTGCTGCCTTCATACATCTCCTCCTACATGTCTCTGTGTGAGTGCAGCTACAGCGTGCGCTCTCAGGACATCATTACCTGCAGTGTTCCCTCAGTGAGGACTGAACTAGACAAGAGGACCTTCTCCTACTCCGCTCCTGTTTCCTGGAATATCTTGTAAAAAGATCTGAAGCTCTCGACCTTTGACCTCTCTAAGTGGCTTCAAACATCTGTTAAGTTCCTGCAGATGTTCCTTTTTGTAGTTTTCTACATCGTTTTATAATCTAGCTGGGTTGTTTTTTTTTTGCTACTTTTCCTTTTAATTACCATTTTACACATTTTCACTTGTAAAAAAAAAATTAAAATCGGTACATGTCCTTTGATTGTCCATTGTTGTCATCATTCTTTGTTAAAATCAAGTCTCTCTTGCAAATGAGTCCTCGAGGCTCAAAGGGATTAAACTGTATAAAGGTTAAATGATAAAAAAAAACAAGGACTCTTCCACCTACGACCCTCGGGCAGACGATACAGGAGTCTGTCATCACGTACAAAAAGACTAAAGGACAGTTATTACTCTCAAGCTGTCAGATTACTGAACTCTCGATAAATAACACTGAACAACTGGCAATAAGATCAAGACACATCTGTGACAACTACAAACCGGATTCCAAAAAAGTTGGGACATCTTGATTCAAGCCACGCCCACCACAGATCTGATTCTATTAAAC